TATATCTGGAAACTACTTTCAGGTCCGTTGGCTCTGGTGCCTTCCCAAGGTCTCAGGTAAGGTCAGTGGTTTCCTGCCTTTTCTGAAGGAAGGAGTGACAGTCTTCCAGAGTCTCCCTCAACTACCACAGGCTTTCACAGATAACTGAAAGTGGCCTTGCAACAACATCAGGCAGCTCCCTCTGCATTCACAGGTGCCAGGAGACAGAAAAACACAACAATCAGATTTTGAAATGCACCTGCCGAGACACTGAGACAGACACTGGTGACAGACAGCAACTCCTAGATCCTTCCTTCCACTGAGCTCAAGAGCCAGGGAAGCATCCTCCAACCAAAACAAGAAATCACTGATAAGGAGATGAGAAACCACTTAACATTTGAGAGTCTTTCAGTTTCTAACAGAACTGAACAGTTTCTGAACAGTTTCTAACAGAACACTTACTGACAAAGCGGGGAAAGAAGATCTAACACAAYCCTTTAGCATAGTGTATTGTTACATGGAAATGATATATTAAAGTTAAAGCAAGAAATATCCAGCCAAGACAGAAGCTGACAGCGCTGATGGTCAGGGTGAAAAGGAAGGAAGAAGGCAGGACACCATTTTCTAGGCAGGAGCAAATGGTAACCTCTTGCCTTCAACATCGCAAGCTTCCATACTCACAAGCAATTTCTGAGAGAGAAAAACTTCCCACAACTCAGAGCAGACATAGCTTGTGATGGGCAGGGCTCTGTTCTTCGGGGGCTGTTTCTACTGCTTTCTTACTGGAGGACTCCCACTAACAGAGAAGCACAGAAGATACTCCCAAAATAATCCACARCAGCTCTGAATCTGTACCTGTGGATCTGGTATTCCATAAAAAGTCTATTATCCAGATACCACCTTGAAACCGATTTAGGAATAAAAACATGCCAYGAGTAAATTTATGGCAGTCATCAGAAAATACTATGTAGACCTTGTCAACCTGATAGTAATTAGTTAGGAGGGAAAAAAAGAAAGTGGCAATTGGTATTTCACTCCTGAGTGCTCTGGACAAAGAAAAAAAATATAGAATTCCAGAGTCAGGGCTGAAACTCAAAACAAAAGTAGAACAAAAGATCTAGAACTTATAAAATATCCAAAGTTAACACAGAACAGGTCTTTGGTGAAAACTAATCCTCAATGTGATATTTTGAATTTTGAGTAAGGAATGAAGGCTCCCAGGAGCRTATACTGCATAAGTGAGATGCCTCGTGATGATTTCAGAGTGGGCGTGAGCACAGCCAGACGTAGATTGGGAAGTCACCTAAAATCAGACCAAGGCTGCAAACCAGCCAGCATCTGAATTTTAATTCCATCCTTCACTTTCCCTCAATTCCACCAGAGATCTGAAACTGTAGATAACATGCCAAGGACAGGGTATTTCCAAGAACGAGTATAAAAACTCAAACTTTGCAGCCCCTTATAAGCCCAAGTCCCTCTGCACGTGTGCTGAAGTAGCATTTCACAAAACAGAACATACACATGGGCCAATGCAATGTCTGTAAGGCAGAAACACCTTAGAATGATATGCCAACTGATTAAAGGATTTTCGGATTACAACTCAGGATTTGGAAGCTCAAATTTTACAAAATTCTCGCTTTCAATCCTTCTCACAATAACCAATTGTTCTTCTGTAAAAGTCCGTAGTTTTTGAACTTAGAAGGAATTAAAGAAATAATGACGAGGAGGAGAAATTCTATCACTTCTAACACTTCAGATTCTAAGCTAACAAACAAGACAGGCCTTTCTGTTACATATATAGTTCAAGTACATACTTCAAGTAATAGATTTTGCTATACCTTGAGAAAAAAATATCAACCTCATTGAAATATAATAGGATTAAATGCCTGAATTCCTATAAAATACAATGAAATTTGAGTGCCTACATCCAATTGAAATGTAATGAGATCTGAGTGCCTAAATCCCATAACCTGATTGAAAAATCCTACCCTTAGTTTTTCTCAYGCTCATGAGCGCAGGTGGGACTTTGAAAAATATATTAAATTATACCTCAAATGACGTAACTGAAGCAACACTTAATTCAATAACAGATTACCTAAAGTTGTCACTTACAGGATTACTTGTATTTTTGACAATAGAAAACGGATCCAAATTCCATGTTATACAGGATAGCAGTTCCTGCATTCTTTTTCCCAGTAGAGAAAGGGAATGCACAGAGGTTGCATAAAGTCCTMTTTTACATTAACAGGCTTTTCTGATTCTGCAAGCCCTGTCCTCTAAGCAAGGTTAAATGAATTATGGCTAGATTAATGCTGGCCAAACAGCTAGCCTAAGCAGAAACCATGTCTTTGGCCTTTTGATGGAGCCTGTAATAAAAATATAAATTCTCTAGAGGATCCAGTGGATGGAGGCAGAGAGTGGGAGGATTCTGGTGTGTCCGTGTATGCAGGGAAAAAAAAAAAAATCTCCAGGGCAGTCTAGCAAATACTTCCCAGTCCCTTCCACGTTAGCATCCCGTTCTCCTGCAGAGATGCTTCCATCAGGGAGAAATGCGCAGTGTYGCCACAGGGTGGCTCAGTCTAGCCTGCAATGAAAGCCACAGCTTTCCTTCTGCTAACACCAGCAGAAGAAAAACGGTCTGAAAAACCAGACTGCTGCATCCAGAGCAGCTGGAGAGGAGCTGCTGTGAAGAGAAAGCCAGGAGAAGAAGGGAGCGACCTGGATTCTCCCTGACCTGCACCATTACTCTTAACACTGCTGAAGCCACAGCCTAGAGCCACGTCCCGGAGGATTTAGCGGGTGAGCAGYGACTTGTGATGTGAAGGCACCGAATTCCTGGGCAGCCAAAAATCCCACCGACATCCACGGCATTTCCAACTGACCGAGGCAACCCTGCAACCCGTCTGTGTCGGCTCACCATAGGGAAAAACACCCTGCCCTCCTCACAGGACTGGGGACAGTCACCACAAAACGTGACTCCATGTGTTCCGGGAGGCTGTTAAATGTTGTGCGTAACCCTGTGCTGTAGTCTGGGAAAAAAAAAGCACAGACACATTTAGAGGTAGCGAATGTTTCCAGAGGTCAACATTCCCATTCATTTTTTAAAAGTAGAGTGCACGTAGCACACTCTAAAAACAGGTATTCACACTAAAAATTAAGACCAAATAGAATAAAAARCTATTTTTACACATTATTGTAATCCTCATAAATTTTCCTGAATATTAGAGGGCATTCTCAACTTCAGTGAGATCAAGTCACAGCGGGACTAACAGTTAGTTCCTAATAGTTGTATGAGGCTCCTATTAGGCTCAGCAGCTCAATTTTGAAAATTAAAATTAACGAAATCTAACTAAGTCTCCTCAGATGTTCTGCACTTCCAAAGCACGCACAARCGGGACACATCCAATCGGGAATATAACAGAACAGGAGACAAGGGCGCCGGGCAGCGCCAAGGCCCCCGCGGCGGGGCCGCTCCTCTCACAACGCCCGGGGCTGCCCGGGCCGCGCTGCCCGCGAAACTACCGCTCCCGGCGGGCCGCGCGCCGGCGCGGAACTACAACTCCCGGCGTGCCCCGCGGCGCCTCTCCCGGGACACGCGGGCGCCCGCTGCGCGCGGGGC